AGATATGGGGGGTAGGAAGGGACTGGAAGGGAAGGGAAATCCCCCAACCTCAAAAGGATTACAAGAAGCATGAGATTTGTACTTGGAAAAAATAAGATGACTTACTCACAACACATACCTGACCTAGGCAAACAACAATCCAGGCAATCCTGCAGTTTAAACGTGTTCCCTGCACGATCTCTACCAACAGTCTGGATTGTGGGGAGTGCTGTTAGACCCAGGAGAGGTCTGGAAGCAGGCCACGGTGGGGCACGACTCAGAGAGTAAATGTACCTCATCTGCGTAGCGTAGTGCGTCACTGGGCACCCTGAGTCTGATCCTATGTGCCATCTAAATCGTCCAGTTTTCGTTCAAATGACAGACTTTTAAAATTAAAAGTTCATTTTGGTTACATAAAAAAATTGATTTCTTAATGTTCTTTGGAAACTTCATACAAATATACATGTATGAGAAATTCATAAAGATACTGAATGTGCCCAGATGGGAGATCTGTGGCTAAAATAAACATATGATCATGCAAACATCCTATACTTTGAGCAAAAAGAAAGACTTAATAGATAAATCAGAATTCTGAAATCTAATTAATACTTTCTGAAAACAATATAGAAGTCTGCTTTTCTTTCCTGGGGCCTATTTTGTCTTTGGTCATACTGAAAGAAAAAAAAAAAAAAAAAAAAAAGGAATGTGTCATTCTACTCTTCGGCATAGAGTTGATATGAAAAACACAGCAACACCTTTGTATCAGATAAATATTGCTGCAACACTGTCCTACAGAACATACCCATTCTGAATTCCACAAAGGTAAATTATGCTAAGAAACCTTTACCAACACTGACAATGTATTGAAAGATATTGAACATGATTATAGGCCCTGGCTAGGATCCATATGATTTGGTTTGAATACGTTCAAGATTATCACCTCAACTCTGCCCATGGTTGCATGTGGTATTTGCTTTGTGGATTTCAAAGATGCCATCTTCCCTGGATTTTGACATCTAAGTGATTTTTGTTGGGAGAAGAGAAAACCTGGGTTCAATAAGTACTTAGAACCTACAAATTGGCTGACAATTAGACTAAGAGAGCCTGTAGCTTGAAACTATCTGAACTTCATAAAAGGTCCAGGCGAGTGGTAGTTCATTTTAGATGAGAACTAACAGCCACAATAAACAAAAGGCTTGGGGTGGGGTGGAGAGGGAAAGAAGGAAGCAAAAGAATGCCAAGCTCTGAGCAAATTCTTAACAGAGAATAATCACTACAAAACATTTTTTAATGGTGAGATTTCTTTTAGATAGTCTCAAGCTTTTCAGTTTACAGAAGCAAACTGGTAAACATTTCATTATCTGTAAGAAAATTTGTATTATCAGTATCAGTTAACCCCATTTTTATTTAGTCCTAATTTCTTAATTCATTGATTCAACAAATGTTTATGCACCAGGCACTTTGGTATACTCTGGGGATACGATGTTGATCAACCCCCTGCGCTTCATGGAATTTAAATTATTAGAGTAGCTGACAATAAACAAATTGTCACAGAAGTAAATGGTAGTGTTATACGCTCATTATATGCTATAAAGGAAAGCTACATGATGTCTTGGGACAGTTCAGTCTCCTGAGCAGGCCCAGCAAAGCTTTCCCAAGAAGCAACGACTGAGTGGAGTCTGGAGGATGGCAGGATTTAATGAGGGACGAGTCAAACTCAACACCACTTGCTCGCATCACTAAAACTTGATGAGATTCAACACTCAGGATTACAGAATTTCCCTGAACATTTAGTGCAGGACTCATGGAACCCTTGTACTAAGGCTGATTTCTGTGAAAGAGAATTCAGGTGTTGGTGAGTCTTAAGGAAGGAGGAGAGCCCCTAGCAAAGATCGCAGAACTCTGCTAAAATGTAGCAGTCAGGAGAAACAAACATTTTATGGGCAGTGGATGGTATAATCACCATCTCTGTAGATGAAGCATATAATTCTCAAATCTCTGGCTTTGAAAATGTTGACAAAATCTGGTCTGAATTGCTGTGAATAACTGAGAGCCTTTGCAAGGCAAGAATTTCAAAGATCACTATTATTTCAGATCTACTTCCAGAATTCATTAGTTTCACTTTTAGTTTTAATGCACAGCATGGCAAACATCTGCTGAATATACCTGTTGGTCTCTGTCTCTGAAATGTGTTAGCTGAGTCTGAACAAGACTCTTTGGTTACTTTCCAGACCCCCCATTCAAAGGCAAACATACTAATCTGGGTAAAGAACCAAATCAGAGACCAGATTAACCGTATCAAACTAAGTAGACACTTGGTATGGTCTTTTTTTCTTTTCTTTTTTTGTCTTCAGAAAAATATATTTAGGAAAACATTAAGGAAAATAAGATAAAGAGGAAGCAGAAGCAAAGAAAAAAAAATTTACTGCTAGAAAGGATTTTTAGAGACAAACTCTTCCTGGGCTTTCAACTGAGATGGAGCTCAGGGCTGGCTATCCTGGAAGTCTGTCCACTCTGATAGTTGGGGGCAGAGCTGTCCCCTAGAATGCAGGGCTTCTGCGCCGCCTCACCCCCACCCCTCCCCAACTACTCTCCTGTTACCAACAGGCCTTCCGGTCTGCCATTCAGCAGCCGCCTCCCTAATCTGATGCAAACTAATATATTCACTGCCCCCACTTAGACCAGCTCTACTGTGAGTAGGCTGCTTTAATTCTCCACAGAGGTCAATTTGGCCAGGATATTCCAGAACCATTTAATAAACTATCCAGACACTTTGAGTATACTAAATGTACCCTCCTGATTTGACTTTGAGATGGTAAAAAATCATGGCTCATAACTGGACTGGCAGAGCTGTGCTTATGGACTATGTAAACAGATCTATTTTATTTTCATGGCAGTTTATACAAATATTTTAAAACGAATTATTAAACATCAAAGAGTTTACCAACCAGCTTTATCTGGCTAACATGATGTTAGAGAAAAATCAGTATTTTTGCCCTGTAGTATCACGCACATAAAAACAACGCTAATTGTAACTATATTGGACCCAGCACAACTTTTGATCCTAATGAAAAGGTACAAATGCTACTTACAAATCACTTTAGTTATTAAAGCAGAATGCTCTATGCTTTAGGTGGCATTTTCTTCAAATTCTGTATTTTGGACAACCGCATAAAAAACAAGTAAAATTCACCAATATTTTAAAAGCAAGTCAAATGCTTAGATCATGCTAATTTTTTGATAAGATTTCAAAAGGAACTAAAATCAATTAAAATTACCTAGGTAACTAGGTATGTGTATTCTCTGAGTGCTATTAGGCATGAATCTCAAGAGTTAGTCAACTGACTCAACAAAGTACGAAATATCTAATTCACAGAATATGTCTATTTCTTGCATGAATAAAATGGACTTAATAATGGTTATTAACTCAATTCCAGAAAAGCACAGGTAAAGACCATATAGCAGCAAACTTTAAAGTCTGTAATCATTCATAACACAATTGGATTACGCTATCATGACTACAGCCATTGTTTAAATGACATGTATTTGGTCCTTGAAGCTTCTGCAAATTTAAAAAATAAAGTTGTAACATCAAAATAGATTTGCATCCGGAGACCCAGAAAGGATTGCAAAATCATAAAACTACACAATGAAAATTCCAATATGTTGTAATATATATATATATGTGTGTGTGTGTGTTTGTGTGTGTGTGTGTGTGTATCCTTCTCTACTCCAAGTTATCACATTGAAGTGCAGAGTGGAAACTTTCACAAATCAGCTTTAAGTTAAAACAAAGAAATACAACCTATTCTGATTAATATAAACAGCTAAAACATCCTTAAACGTGCAATCATGTGAATATTTTGCAAGACATTTTCAGGAACACTAAGAATGTAATATACTAGCTTGCCCAGAAACAAAACTGAACATTTCCCTCACTCTTTAAAGCCCCGTAACAAGGTAAAAGAGACACTTCAAATTCAAATGAACAGTATTTCAAAATATGTTCCTATCAGTCCTTCAGCAGAGGACAAAAAAATGACATGCTAACAACTCTTAAAGGATTTTGCCCACTTATCATTACTCGATTGTCACACTCACATTTTTCAAGTGCATGGCAAATTTCCAAACCAAAGCATTATGAAAAATATCAGAATTTAGATCCAAAGTTTGTTGTTTTTATAAGTCTTTTTCTTTCTTTTTTTTTTTTTTAACATGTCACTATATGATTGAGGTCTCTTACATTTCAGCAATAAATACTGAACGCCAGTTTCCTAATTTGGCTCATCCTTAAGAAGTATTACAGTCAGTCCAGTGGAGAGAACATTCTCTTTGAAAAAGGAAACCACATGCTCCAGCTGTCTACCACTGCTGGTGGTTTTCTAGAAGTAGAGAGAGAAATTCAACAATCTAAACAATCATGTGTTACATATCTGTAGGTTGGAGTTCAGTTACACTGGCCTTACAAAGTTCTCTAAGCATTCAAGAAACTTAAAAACTTCTATAATTCTGCAGGAAGTCGGACAGAGCTCTTTGCTACATACTGTAATCTGACACTAGGCTTAAGTTGACTAAGTTTAAGTAACTAACCCAAGAGGAACTGTTTCCTGCTTTCCTTTAGGAGAGACTACAATGACCTGTAGTAACACTGCTGAGGCAGAGGTTACTATCGGGCATTATATGCAGCTATCAGGAAGTCAGTTGGGGTTTTAACCTTTTTTTTTTTTTTTCCCCTGTGTTGTGGCACGGATCCCGAGTGTTTGTAAGAATTCAACCCTGCTCCCTCATTGTTTATAAAGACAAGAAAAACCACAAGAGCTAGAAAATGTACCCCAGGCCAACTAGGCGGCTCCCTGTTCACCTCAACAAAAGGGCTGTGCCATGGAAAACTTTTCAGTTATGAACCAACTCACTCTGTATCAAACACATTTGCCTGTGAACATCTCTGGGGAGGGGCAACGGCCCTTTCTAAATGGAATCAACAGTCTATTTGACAGTGGTTTATTTCAGCGTCATTTTACCTAGTCTGCTCCTGTAAGATGAGATGAGGCTCCACGAAGAACTTGACTCTCAGTTTAAGCCGGTAAGGGGCTAGCCCATCCATCTGCTGGGAGATCCGATTTCTCAGATTTAGCCATAAACTTTCACCTTTGCTACCCGTAAATTGCAGTCCAAAATAATCAACTTCTATAATTCCCAACCGCCGGCACACCTACAACAAAAATGAGTGCAACATGGATGAGCAAATGGTCCCTGTAGTCGAAGCAAACCCAAGGACACCATCTGGGTCTAAGATTCCTGCGTACTTTTCATAAAGTTCAACAAAGGTGTCACAATGCCCGCCTTCAGCTTAAGAACAAAGTTCTAAGATCCCAGTGTTGCTAAACCAATGGAGAGACTTGCGTTTCCTTTAACACCTAGGACACCGCCGTCAACTGCAGTAGAGAAAAAGGAGTCCTCAAAAGCAGCCTTCCAGAAAGGCTGAGGAAGGGAATGAATCTACGGGGTATTTTCCCTCTTATTCCAATCACTGGAATTTCCTCCACCAGCACAATCTGCACAGCTGATTTGGCAGATTATCTGGACAATTTTAACCATCTGGACTCCAAAAAAAAAAACAAACACATTGAGGAAACACGCCACAAGTGTCAGTTAAGCTTGTTACAAGAGGTTTTCCGAACATCTCAGATCTAGGGGGTTTGAGGGCACAGCTTTCCATCTGAGATCAAATTTGCTGTCTGTCATACCAACATGCACTGTTTCGAACCATTCTTTTTTACTCCTGAGGAAATGCGTGCTTTAAAGGCAACGGAGTGGATGGCCAAAACCCATGGTTCTCCCGAGCCCTGCAAACCGGGAGGTGCAGGTGAATGGTCCATTTGAGAAGCAGCAAGAGACAAGGTCCCCGCTTGTCTGCCAAGCAACCCCAGAGACCTGCGATCGCCAGCAGCCACCTCATCTCGGGACTCAAGCTGGCGCTGCCAGACCCCGCGGGGACCCGACAGGCGGCATCATGCACACACCTGCGGCAGGTGTGCTGGGCCGCCTTCTTCCGGGAAAGTGCGGGGTTGGGGGGGGCAGGGTGGCAGGCCCGCCGCGCGCGTCCTCGCCCCCCCCCACGCGCTCCCAGCCTGCGGGGACCGCGTGCCCCACGGCCGCTAGGAGGAAGGGGCGCGGGCCGGGCGCCCGGGGCGCGCTTCCCCGCTGGCCGCAGCCGCAGCGCCGCCCGTCCCCTGGCAAAAGGCGCGCCCCGGAGGTTGGCGCCGCCGCGAGGCCCCTCGGCCTCGGGGAACCAGCCGCCCTCCCCCAGCCTGCCCCTCGTCGTCACCTGGTTGAGGCAGTCCTCGCCGTTGGCTTTCGCCTCCACCTCCACCTCCATCAGCACCGCGTCCGGCCTCGTCACATAGCACAGCATGGCTGGGGCCGCCGCTGCCGCCACAGCCGCCTCCTCTTTGGTGTGCGCGGGGCTGCCGCCTCGCCACCGCTCAGACCCAGCCCCGGGCTCGGCGAGGTTGGCCCTCGGGAGGCTGCAGCGCCGCAGCCCGCTGCCCCGCGCCCCGCGGCCCCCCGCGCCCTCCTCCCCGCCACCCCCTAGCCAGCCCGCCCGCCGGCCGCTCAGGTCTCCGCGGCGGCGCCGCACTCCAGCAGCCCGACTGCCTGCGGCGCGACTGGGGACTCCTCTGATATAGTGGCCCCGCCCCCTTCGGCTGGGGCCCCTGCCAATCACGGCGGCCCCGCCCCTCCGCCGCCGCCCGGCCAGCCAATACCGGCGCCCGCTCGGCCGCGGCCCGGCCGCCCCGGGAGGTGGCAGCCTGCGGACGCCGAGGGCTGCGGGAGGAGGGAGGCTCCGGGACGCGCCGGCCGCCTCTGCCCGCTGGGCGACGCTGCTCCGAGCGGGCGACCGCCGGGGGCTTAGAGACGGGGGCGCCTCTCTGTCGGGCTGGAATTGACAGGGAGTCAACGCCTCCGAGCAGCCTGCCGTTCTCCAGAAGCCTTGGATCGCTCCGAGAACGCTTTTCGGGAGAGGTGCACACAAAAAGGAAAGAGAGCCACCCCCAAGCCCAAAGCAAACTCTTTTCCCCTGGGGTTTGCCGCAGTGGGTGGTCGGAAGGCGGAACGGCTGTTCCTCTTTTAGACCTCGTCAGCTGAAAAACAACATCTGAGTATAAAAGTTTTTGCAGCTGACCCCTGAGCCGGGGAGCTTGAGCTGGTGCTTCTGTCTAAATCCTCTCCGGAGGTTTCTGTTTACTGGCCGTGCGGAATCAGAACACCTTACGGGGCTCTAAGGCCCTCTCTTGGGTAGTGCATCCTGTCTCGTGCGTTATTCATTCATTAAACGTTAACTGAGCCCGTGCTGTGCTTCCAGTCCCTTCTCTCAGGCAACCAGATGTTATTCCCCTTCTTGAAGGTTAGGGACTTAATCTTGGAACCTAACAGGTGTAGTGGCTATTAATAATTCAAGGCCTGGGCGCCTGGGTGGCTCAGTTGGTTAAGCGACTGCCTTCGGCTCAGGGCATGATCCCAAGCTCCTGGGATGGAGTCCCCAATCGGGCTCCCTGCTCAGCAGGGAGTCTGCTTCTCCCTCTGACCCTACCCCCTCTCATGCTTTCTGTATCTCATTCTCTCTCTCAAACAAATAAATAAAATATTAAAAAAATAATAATTCAAGGCCTACTACTCTTCACTCATTTACTACTTGTTCCTTTTTGCCAGTACATTATTTAGCCTACCTCTTTGGTTTCTTTATAGGAGAAACGAGAAGATGTGGGTTTCAGCCTGGGACCCTTGGAAAACCTACTTCCTCTCTCTGAAGTTCAGTGTTTTCAACAGTAAAATGAAAACCACAATATCTGCTCTGCTCCTCATCTGCTCGCGCCCCCCACTCCCACCCCTTCCAGTATTGCTGGGAAGAGCAGCAGAGATATGCTCATGAAAGCATTTGAATGACCCGGTATTTGCAAGGAGATCTATAATGTCAGCTCGGCTACTGTCTGCCAGTGGCTTCTGTTCTTACCCCTTTTCCTGAATCTCAATGACCTCCGTCCCGGTGGCTTTTTTTGCTGAAGAAATAGGAAGGGCATCGGAGCAGAAGGCTACAAGGAAGGATACTATCACAGTCTTTTGCTAAAGCCAACTATGGGCAAAATTGTAAGTAGTCAAAGTCCTTACCCCAGTGTTGCAGGTGGACTTGTGCACTCACAGCTTTCTTTGTGTCTTACAAATAAATACACCTCATGATATTGCACTGCTGAAATATTCTCCTCTCATATCAACTCCTGTTCCCCATTCCCTTAAATCCAGTGTACTGATTGGGAAATTTATCTGGGAGACGATATTTGGATCACTGTTATCTATGCTTAAGCACTAGCAGTTTCAGGACAAGAAGAGGTGACGGCCAAGATGCGGCCCAGGTGTATTGGTTAATATTTTCGTTTATGAACAACTAAGCTGGCTAACCCAAAGCCAGCTAACCAAAAGTTGGCTAACTTAAGCAAAAGGGAATTGAGTGCACAACTTTTGGAAGCTCATAAAATCAATGGGGACAAGGCATGGAAATGAATAGAAAGGGAGAAATACTGGGTGACCGAAAACAAAAATAAAAAAGACGAAACAAGTCACGACCAAAATCAAACACTTGTTTTGTTGAGAAACCACTTTAAAAATAACTTATATTTTTGTTTTGGCAGGGGTATGTCTAATCAAACCCAGATTATGCTCCTGCTGTGGGATGGTTGGGAAAGATTTCAATTGTTTTTGGAATTAAGAATCGCCAGGGAGGTGGGTGGAGGGATGGGTGACACAGATAAATGGGATGAAGAGCAGATTTATCGTGAGGAGCACTGAGTTATGTACAGAATTGTTGAATCATTGTATTGTACTCCTGAAACTAATATAACACAGTATGCTAATTATACTTCAATAAAAAATAAAAAAGAATTACCAGATAAGCCTGAGGAGGAGATGGATTTTATTTTTAAGATTTTATTTACTTATTTGACAGAGAGAGACACAGCGAGAGAGGGAACACAAGCAGGGGGAGTGGGAGAGAGAGAAGCAGGCTTCCCGCTGAGCAGGGAGCCCGATGCGGGGCTCGATTCCAGGACCCTGGATCATGACCTGAGCCGAAGGCAGACGCTTAATGACTGAGCCACCCAGGCGCCCAGGAGATGGATTTTTTTTAAAAGATTTTTATTTATGAGAGAGAGAGAGAGAACGAGGGTGGGGTGGGGTGGGTGGAGGGCAGAGGGAGAACAGACTCCCCGCTGAGTAGGGAGCCTGACATGGGGCCGGATCCCAGGACCCTGAGCCAAAGGCAGATGCCACCCAGGTGCCCTGAGGAGATGGGTTTCTTAAAACAAAACAAAACAAAGCTAAAAACATGAAAATGGCACTTGAAGAGGTGGGAGAAATCCTGTTGACTGAGAAGAAAAATAATATTGGCTTCTACTAGCATATATGGAAAATATGGAACCATAATTTCTCTTTCTCTCTCTCTCTCTCTCCCTCCCTCCCTCCTTCTCTCTTCTCTCTCTCTCTCTCTTTCGTCCCTTTTTTTCTCTCCTAATTTCTTCCTAAAGTAGAGATAGAGACTGGTTAGTTAGGGAATGAGAAAGCTGAGTTTGCTGGGGGTGAGAAACACATTATGTTCAAAGACCTGGTTAGGGAATAGAGAGCCCACAGAATTACTTCCTAAGAGGATCCCACCATCTGGTAATGCTACTAAACGTCTGGAGCCAGTTTCGAGACCCAGCTGGGTCTAACTGCAAAATCAGACTATGAACACCCCGGCCTGGGGGTGGTAACTGTATCGGATACAGAGCTGTGACGGATGCAGCTCTGAATGAGCCAGAGAGGTGCTACATTTTATCTGTGTCTGCCTTCTTTTGCTGACAACTAGCTATCCCCCTTTAAAGGATTAAAATTAACCAGCAAAGTAGAAGGATCAGCTGCACAAAGGTAAAGTTTTACTTATTTATTTTTAAAGATTTTATTTATTTATTTGACAGAGAGAGCACACAAGCAGGCAGAGCATCAGGCAGAGGGAGAGGTAGAAGAAGACTCCCCACTGAGCAGGGAGCCCGATGCAGGACTCGATCCCAGGATCCTGGGATCATGACTTGAGCCGAAGGCAGACCCTTAACTGACTGTGCCACGCAGGCGCCCCGAAGGTGGAATTTTAAAATAGAAACCATAACTAAGGGGTAGAGTTGGCTAAGCCAGCAGAGCCCTGGCCATTCGAACACACCCAAAGCACTAGTTTTTCTGTTTCCTCGACTAGGGCTCAAGACTGAACACTAGGTAATATTGGAAGGATGTGATGTGATGGTTGACAGGCTGCAAAATTTTTCTTCTAGTTGAGTGCGAGGTCTGATCTGGCCAGCTGGATACCTGCCCTTGCTCATTTCTCTCTCAACCCTGCCCACGCCCTTGCAGACACCCTGCCCTGGGTCAAAGGAAAGACCCTTCTCTTTCCTCTTCATTTGTGGGAGCAGGGAGGGAAGAACATTCCGTGGCTGCCTAAAAAACCGTCCTTTTGCTTCCACACGTTATTCAAGCTGATGATTCCCCTAAGCAATGCTTCGTTGAGCTCAAGTGGGTTAGAATGTGTTGAGTGAGCTGAGAGCTCTCATTGGACATATTAGACTTGCAAAACCAGGAGTGGTTTAATTTGATCCTGGCCTCCCATCAAAGCAGTGTCAGTGTCTCGTTTCCAGAACTGTAGTTTGAGGAGCAGAGGAAGAGTTGGAGAAGAGGCAACGCCCTGTCTCACAAACCCTGGAACATCTAAAATGGTTTCATCTTCGTTAATGGGCAGTTTACATGATTTTATTTTGTGGTGAGAGTAGTTCATGCTCATGGTAGACTACTCAGAAAAGACAGAAAAGCCACGAAGTACCTGTAACTTTGTCGGGCATTTTCCTGTTAGTGGTGATGTTTTACTTTCATACGGTGCATGCAATGTGCTGTAAATCTTGTGATATCATCAAATACTGCCCATGAACTTCTGGAGACATATCCAGAGAGCACGAGATGCTTGGGTTGGGGAGTTCCCAATCTACAGCTAATGTTAAGAACATTAGGAAAATCATAGACAGAAAGAAAAGCCTTCGTGAAAAAGTTCCAATTATTAATGTTTCTCAGCTGTCTTGTTTTCTGGAATACTACTCCTTCCTGTATTCGCTTTCCTTCTCACAGCTAGTATGCCCTGCAATGTCACATTTTGTGGTAATGCTTATGTCTTGGGCATGGATCATTTAGTTGAGAGATGCTCAGAGCTGGGAAATCACTTCCGACTTGGTACATTTTGTGTAACAACAGAAAGGTTTCGTTTAATATTTTGATGCCTCGCTTTCATTGATGGTGATGGTCAAGAATTAGGCATGTACTCTTATACTTGCTTCTCAAGTCTGGCGATATGCAGGTGCTGATCCACCCACAAGAGGGTTCACCATCATTTTGACCTTGAAGGAGGCTGGGTAGATGCTGGGGATGAAGTTGGGAGCCATGAAACACAGAACAGGCCCAAGTGGCAAGAGGCTTAAACTCACAAAGCTATCCTAACTGGTGGTGTTCTAACCAGCAGATCTGTAATGACACCTCTCTGTCCCTCCCTTGTCTGAGCATGCCTTGCTGTAAAAGATGTATTGT